CTTAATCGAGTATGGGGGAACGGGAAGGTGTTAATAGTGATACGATAAAGACTTTCGTTGTTGGTGCAACTGCAAAAGCCATACTGCCGGTAATAATGTACCTTTACAGAAATCATTGTACTTTTATTTTTGCTGATCATTTCAGAACTTTTGTGGTTTGTAATTTTTTTCGCTGTTGGAAAGAAGTTTGAAGCATTATTGCAGGTTTTTGAGTGTAAATTTACCCAACAAAAATTTTGTAGTTTCTGGTTTACGGGAGAAGGAGGTGTGATAACGATAAAGAATCGGTGACCGAAATTTTTTCGTGGAAGTTAAAGAAGTTGTTCACGTCATGAAGTTATGACAAATTGACAGTTATTTAAATGCTTCTGAAAGCATTTCTTGTATTTGAGTCCACTTTGGTACTTGCGTAACCTGACAAGCCAGTAACGGTTGCAAAGTTTGAGAATGTACAGGGAAATGAAAGAAAAGAGAATTGCATTTGATTTCTGCTTGAGGTATATCGTACTATGGAGGAATTTTAGTGGGTATTCCAGAAAATATTAAAAAGATTTTTCAAAATGAGACCGAAGAAATCTCATGGTTTTAGGAGTATTTGAAGTTCAAGGTCTTAACTCGGTTTTGAAAGACTAACTCGTATGCTTTTTTCACCGAAAAAGAAAAAAACAGGATGAGAAAATAACCTGTGGATAGTGTGTTTACGCCGCTTTGCTGCCTTCCGCACTGTCACTTATTCTGTTGGAGTCCTACGAATCACTAGGTTGCTCTTGCTGAAGGGTTATTGCAATTCACCGTGGTTTTCTGGACTACTGTTAGACTTTAGAGGCAGTCGAAATGTTAACCGCCGTCATTGAGAGTTATTGCTCTAATATCTTAAAAACCTGCGGTCATAAAAGGAATTTAGCACGGAGGGTTTAAAAGGATCCTTTGGCAGACCTCAGAGGCTAAGAAGATGTGTAGAAGATCTGAAGGAATTTTTTCTGTTTGTTTGCATCACTGTGAATGGCGTGATGAAGTGGCGATAGCTATCGTTTTTTATTTGTAGCTTCTGTAGAAAAGAGGAATTTTGGCATGAAAGAATCGATCAAAAGAATTAAACAATATGTTATGTAAAACCTTAAGAAACTGGATAAACATGGAATTTGTAAGTGCTATTGATCATTGTGCTAATATGAGAAGAACTGCACTTTTTTTTTCGGTCTCTAAACATTTCGTTGACTATTGGAATTTCACTGTAAAGTGTTTCTGAATTTGGTCATCAATACCGAGGCAGCATGGGCTTGATTGAGGTGACCAGATGTGAGAGTAAGTTGGGGCTTTTACAATTAGGGGTTGTACGAGCCGTCTGTGTTATAAGTTTGCATTTTATTGATCAGGTTCTGGCGTATCAAAAAAAAAAAAAAAGAAAAAAAAAGGATTGTGATTAAAAAAAAGAATGTGACCACTGGATGCTGTAAATGGGGAATTCTGAGTAGGCTCATTGCAATTATGGCGATTTTGCAGGCATCTGTCCTCTCCGGCTTTTTGCAGCATCCCAAACAACTTCGCTGCACTGAATTTTATAGGCCTATTTTCTTCTCTTGTTAAAAAGGCAACTAAAATTGACCCTATAGTTGTTAATCCTTCAAGCTTGAAGGGTAAGGTTTCAACTGGAAAGTCAATTGGAAGTCGTGTCTAAGTGTGCTATAAAAATCTGCCCAAATTGAAAATGTAAATTTTACTTTTCTCAGTTCTGCTTATTGTACAGTTTTTTGGCCTAGGGGCGCTAATATAATATTGATAAGAAGGGTTTTTGATGGATGGATAGGGAAATAGTCTGCAAATTCAGCAGATGGCTTTTAGTTCAAAAAAGTATTTTTTTTTTTGCGTTTTTATCGACTACCACTTGTAACTCTTGGTGTACCTTGGAAGAATCATTCGCTTTGCTCTGTGATGTGTTTACATTTTCGACATTTAAAGCAACTTAGTAGTTTTACTTTGGTTGTTGTTTTAAAGATTTTTTTGCGGAACTTTACGTGCAGGGAGAGACTGAACTGAATGCAAAAAAATTTTTTGTTTGTTTCTTAACGATAAAAATTAATGGATTTGTAATGTCCTTAACCTTGAGTTAAGTAAATGTTCAGTTTTCGTAAGATTTGTCACTGTACCTTGGTTGAACGTCAGGGAACGTTTTCACTATTAGTGCAAAACTTTTGAAAATGTGATAATTTTGTAAAATGTTTTTTTGCAGCTAAAAACTTGTATTCATTCCAAGTATCTATAGACAGCTTAGGCCTAGTCACATTTTGGAAAATGCGATAAATTTTTAAACCTGCTTGGTCATTACTTTATTCTAGAATTTTATTGAATTTTTAAGCTGTTCAGAAGCTTTTAATAATGGCTGACGCGGCATTGCTAAAGGAAGTCAACATTAAAACAGGCATTGTCAAAAGACTTGTGAAGGAGCTTGCCTGCTACAAGAAGGAGGCAGAAAAGGAAGAGTCTAAGTTAAAGTCTATGAAAGCAGACCCGAAGGCTGATGAATATCTTGTCAAAAAGCAGGCGGAAGTACTTCAGGTTGGCATTACTTCTCTTTTCTCCTTATTCGTCACCTTTTCTCTTTTACTCTTTGCAGTTACGTCACCAATTTGTTGTCGTTTCTCTCGTTTTTGAAAGGTAATTCAGATGTTATGTTATTTTTACCTTTATTATGCCCATGCTTTAGTACCTGACCAATTCTCCTTTTTTGCAGAACAGGATCACCACCTTTTGGTTGTTTAGTTTAGGCCTTTATCTAGTCATTTAATTCTTTTATAAGTCTGTATTCGTTGTAGGACACACGTCAGATGATTCCGAACTGTACTCAAAGGGTTGTGAAAGCACTGGAGGATTTAAAGAAGGTTTCCTTTCTTGAGTTACCTAGTTAATTTGGCTCGTGCTAATTATTCCGACTGTCTGATACCTGATCTTGTTGTAAACAAAGTCGCTCATGCTCGGAATTTAGTCATTCAAACCTAGTTAGACTTTAGCTATATGAAGCTTTTTTCAAAAATTACTTGAGATTGAAACTTTAAAGTTCTACAGAAGACTTCTAGAAGGATTTGCTGAAACTCAACTTCCTATTTCCTGTTTGTTGTAGGAAAATTAAAGTTGTTGCGCCTAAGAAATACATTTTTATCTTTTTCTGCTGTTTTGTTGTACACTTTTAGTTTGTTTTATGCATTTTTTTGAATCATGTAATATTTAGGACTGTTTGAGTAATGTGATTAAACTTGAAATTTTTTGATTTTTTGTAAAGAAAGCTTCTCAACCTTATTAGGAGTTCTACGCATCATTTAGATTCTAATGAGAAGATTTTACTATTTTTGTACGTAATGTGGTAATATTGTTAATTATACAGCAGCTGTATATCTGCTATTAGGTAGGACGTCGGCGGTATAGATATGGCATTTTTTTGGAATTTCGCGTTGATATGGGATAAATTTCAAGCCTTGTGAAGGTTTATTACTGCTTTTGGTTACCTATTGCGATTGATTATTCTGTAAAATTGGTGTTGAACTTTAACACTTTTTTGAGTTTTCCAAATCACCACCGAGGTTCAATACTGCTACAGGTTTTCTTCAGTGATGAGTCTTTTGTAACAAATGAATGAAAAAGATTTGTCTTACACGAAAGATTACCTTAAGCCTTGCTTTCTTCCTCCGACTAGCACCAGTGGCATACAGGTGTCATTTAGGTAGTTGAAAACAACAGCTCGGCCCTTGAAGGCACAACTCAGTTGGCCGCTGCAAATGAGCAAATAAAGGCAGCTGAAGCAATTCCCTAGCTTATTTTTATAGACTCGGACTTCTACTCGTCTTCCTAAAAATTTTCAGGTAAGACTTGCGTTCCTGTTGAAATATTTGAGATTTTCTTAGTTTGGAATTTGAGTAGTTTTTGCTGTTTTTTCATAGTTTAGTAACATTGACTTTTGTGATCTTCAATCTTTTTTGGAATGACTGTATAAAAATCATCGCACTGTCGCTTTTATACGGCTATGGCACTCACTTATATTGCTACTTCGTCAGTCAGACATGGCAGGAATCTCCGGTGTTCTTGTTAATAATGTACTTTTTGAGTTATTGTTGCTTTTTTTTTTTTTGTTACATACGCTGCACTCTGTTGAAACAAATAAATACTGTCAGAAATGTTACCAATGATGAACGAGGGAAAAAGAAAGTGGGAAGAGGATTTTGCCTGTGATAGTAATAAAGTCTGTTTTTTATTCGAGTGTCTTTTCATTGGTTAACAGTAGGGGCAGGGACGTGTCTCACCGTATCTGAATTAGGTGATACAGTTTCAGGGCGTTTTCACGTAGAGAACAGGATGAAAATTCTACTGTAAGGTAGACAGAAGTGCTTCTATTAGTTTTTGTCTTATTCGTGAGACAGACGGTCGATTTGTTTTAACAAAAATCTTTTGGATGATAGAAAAGCTGGGAAAAGTTTTGAGTAGCTCTTATTCTTTTAACAGAAGGATGGAGAACAGGGCATGTGAAAGAGAAGTGAACTGTTGAGCTATGTGCTGTTTGAGCTCACTCGTCTCATTAGTTTGTTTCATTTTACTTTCCTGAATGAGGGGAGAAAGGAAGTGAGCAGTAATAAATGAACGTCATGCTATTTATGCAAAACTTACAACACTGCATTCAATCATCATGAACGTATCTGCCAAAATTATGGCGCTGTGATACAATAGTAATAGTAGTAATGATACTAATAGTAATAATAATAGTAATAGTAATAATAATAATAATAATAATAATAATAATAATAATAACAATAATAATAATAATAATAATAATAATAATAATAATAATATAATAATAATAATAATAATAATAATAATAATAATAATATAATAATAATAATAATAATAATAATAATAATAATAATAAGAAGAATAATAATAATACAAGTACAGAAGTGAAACAAACAGACTTCGGTAATTTAGGAAGAATTCTGCTGTGTAGTGTCTGGGATTTTCTTGATCAGAATTCTAGCAAGATGTAGTTGATGAAGGGAGACAGTAAATTACTAACTGAAAAAATTTAAACGTTTTGTCTACATTGTGAAATAGTGGAACTTGCTTGATTGTGGCGATCTGAATTTTTAGACTTCATCTTGATGATACGTCGAGGTAATAGTTTTTAGATCGTAGATCTCTTCTTCAAATCTTTACAGTCTTGTTACTTCGCCTTCCGTGTCGCTGGAAACTCCTTCATCTACTATAACAATTGAACCTCTGTCAGTCCTTTTGATCCGTTCCTGAATACGTCTTTTTGGTAGAACTCCAGATTTGTCTTCCTGAGAACCCCAGGATTCCTAAATGTCATTGGGGGTGAGTGTTGAAAAAGTTGTTGATTTTTAGACGTGGAGCAGATGACGTCATTTGTTTCTTATGGTTAAGTCACTTTCTAATAACAGGTCAGATTTTTCTTTTTATTTGTAATTTTTCAGTTAGCATCGGAAAGTTAAAAAACTAACTGTTTGTACGAAGTCCCAATGTTTTTGAGGCCTGAGTTAGACGCTTTAAACTTACATTACTAGAGATTTCCGTTCAGATTTAAAAGTAGTATTCACGAATCAAAGAGGGACGAATTCACTTAAGTTTCAAAATTATTTCATTTGTATGAACGGTTAAGATGAAGCAAACAAGCTGGAGATTTCGTTATACAAGGTCTGGTTAAAATCGTGTTTTTCTAGTTTTTAGCGAGATTGCAGTTTAGAGGTCGCCATGTTGAACAAACTTCAGTGCCAGGGACTGCAGGTTTTTTTATGTGAGGTCTTTTTCATTGCTTTTTCTGCAATGACTTATTGCAGCAAAAAAATGCTAAACATTTTGCTTACTGTCTTCCTACATTCGGTGTTCACTTGGATGCGCTCAGCTCTGTTCTCGATGTCTTCTTTCTCTTCCTTCCCGCTTAGTGCTTGCCTGTGTTTTTGTCTCAAATATTCCAATTTCTTATGAAGTGTATCCAACGGGTTGATCACTGGTTCTGACTGACGACGTTCTTTCCCTTTGGATTTCCACCAGCTTAACCGTGACGACCGTCTCTCGATTACCGATGCGGTTGTTAGATGCCGGCGTTCTCCAAGAACTTGCCTCTGCACATTTATGGGGGGCACATCACCCTAAAAAAGGTTTTTAATTCCAAATTTTTTCTTTAGTCGTAATTTATTGCTTTGCTGATGTACAGATCATAGGATCAAAAGTTCTTTTTTTTTCTCCCCTCCTCTCCTCAAATTATGTGTAGTGGAGGGGAAAAAAACTGTAGTAGTACGTTACAACTGTTTTGTTAAAGAATGCTACTTGTAATTTCATTGTCATCTAATGAACATTCTTAAAACTTTTTTGCAATCATTTTCTCTTCCAATCATTGATCTGCTTTGGTGTCCAAACAAAGCAAAAAAAAAAAAAAAAA